TTGGAGAGCCTGCTTTATCTCGTAGAAAAAGCTCTGGATGGGCGGAAGGCACAGAGCGTGGGACTCTTCAGCGATGGAGATAGCAGGGAAATCAATTTACTCCAAGGTAGGACTGGGGATTGGCAATGAACAACCAAACAACTTTGTGCTCATGAAGTGTTGGTCCACGTGTGACCTTCAGAGTACTATTTAAGTCCCCATTTGCTAAGAAGTGTTGATTTTGGCTTTATGAAGAAAGTGAAGCAATTTTTTGTGATGATCATTTTTAAAAATTGCAATTAAAGAAACATAACATCAAAGTTATCATCTTAACCATTTTTTAAGTATGCAATTCAGTACTGCTAAGTATGGTCACGTTGTTGTGAAACAGCTCTCTAGAACTTTTTCATTTGGCAAAACTGAAACTCTGTACTCACTTAAAAACAACTTCCTTTTCCCCTCCCCACAGCCCCCGGCAACCACAATTCTGTTTCTATGAATTTTGAGTATGTTAGATACCTCATGGATACACACACTATTTGTCTTTTTGTGACTGGCTTTTTTAACTTAGCATAATGTCCCCAAGGTTCATCCATGTTGTAGTATGTGACAGAATTTCCTTCCTTCTAAGGGTGAATAATATTCCATTGTATTTATACACCACATTTCTTTATCCGTTCATCCACTGATAGACACTTGGATTGCGTCTACCTCTTGGCTATTGTGAATAGTGCTCCTATGAACATGGGTGTGCAAACACCTTTTTGAGATCCTGCTTTCAATTCTTTTTGACATATACTCAGAATTGGTATTACTGGATCATATGGTAGTTTCATTTTTAGTTTTTCGAGAAACCTCTACACTGTTTTCCATAGCAGTTGCATCATTTCACAATCCCACAAACAACGCACAGGGTTCAAATTTCTCTACATTCTTGCCAACACTTGTTATTTTCTGTTCGTTCATTTTTTAATAGTAGCCATCCTTATGGATATGAAGTTACAAGTTCTTTGCACATTTTTAAAGTTGGATTATTTGATTTTTTCATTTTTGGTTGTAGGAGTTCATATATTCTGGATGTTAACCCCTTATCAGATATATGATTTGCAAATATTTTCTCCTCTTTCATAGGTTTCCTTTTCACTTTGTTGATTGTGTCCTTTGATGCACAAGTTTTAAGTTTGATGAAAGTGAAGCAATTTTAATAGCAAATACCAAGTTCTATAAATTGGTGTGCCCTGACAACATGCGTTATACTGCAAGGGAAAGGAATGGATGATATCACTCACCTGTTATGGGGCAACTTTCAAAAATCTCAGTGG